AAATATAAACAAAAAGCAAAAAAATGTATTTTTAAAAACGTAGCTATTAAGAACATTTCAATTGCCAAAAAACACATTTGAGCAGAATATACCGGGTCAATTTTTCTATTTAACTTCTACTCCAGCAATACAGCATACATCAGTGACACTAAATAAGGCAGTCAGACTTCTGTTTATTTCATTTCTTACAATTCTCACTAAGATCTCTAAAGAGAGCCTTATTCTTTTTTTTTTTCACTCATCTAGTTTAAGTGGTATAAGAGAATCTTATTCTTTAAGACCATTATGTTTACATGAGAAAGTATCTTTTCCTCTTTGAATATGAAGACAGTTATAGGGACTAAATGAAATTAATAGCAAAGTTCACTGAATGTGGTGGCCAGCCTCCAAGACAGTCCCTGCCTCCTGGTATTAGTACCCTGTGTTGTCACCTCCCACACTGTACCAGGGGTCTGCATGACTGACAAGATATGGCAGAGTGATGTATTATCATTTCTAACGTTGGGTTATAGCAGATATCTGGCTCCCATTGTGGCACACTCTTTCACACTCTCTTGGATCATTAACTGTAAGGGAGACCAGCCGCCAAGTTGTACACTGTGCTATAGAGAGGCCCATATGTAAGAAATTAAGGCCTCCCTGGCCAAAAGCCAGTAAGGTATGGAGGCCTCTGGTAAACAGCCACAGGAGTGAGCTTGGAAGCCGATGCTTCAGTCCAGCAAGGCCTTCAGATGACACAATACAAGCCAACATCATAACTGAAACTTTATGAGAGACCCTGGACTAGAACCACTGATCTAAACCTCTAGGGATTTGAGACCCTCAGAAATATGTGAAATGTTTGTCATTGCTATTGTTGTTATTGTTGTTGTTGCTTGAGATGGCGTCTCACTCTCACCCAGGCTGGAGTGCAGTGGTGCAATCTCAGCTCACTGCAACCTCTGCCTCCCAGGTTCAAGTGATTCTCCTGCCTCAGCCTCCTGAGTGGCTGGAACTACAGGTACCTGCCACCACGCCAGGTTAATTTTTGTATTTTTAGTAGAGATGGAGTTTCACCATGTTGGCCAGACTAGCCTTGAACTCCTGACCTTGTGATCCACCCACCTCAGCCTCCCAAAGTGCTGGGTTACAGGCATGAGCCACCACCTCGCCTGGCTGATGTTTGTTGTTTTAAGCTGCTATATCTCAGGTGATTTGTTATGCAGCAATAACTAATGCATCACACAATCAAGAAAGCAATCCTTTTATTTTTATTTATTTATTTTGAGACAGACTCTCGCTCTGTCACCCTGGCTGGAGTGCAGTGGCATGATCTCAGCTCACTGCAGCCTCCGCCTCTCAAGTTCAAGCAATTCTCCTGCCTCAGCCTCCCGAGTAGCTGGGACTACAAGCGCCCACCACCACATCTGGCTAATTTTAATATTTTTAGTGGAGACAGGGTTTCACCATGTTGGCCAGGCTGGTCTTGAACTCCTGACCTCAAGTGATCCACCCATCTCAACCTCCCAAAGTGCTCAGATTACAGGCATGAGCCACCACACCCAGCCAAGAAAGCAATCCTTTTAGAAAGTCTATATTTTAGACAATATAATAATCATTTGCATTAGATGTCATTTCATTCATTCATTTATTTTTGAGACAGGTCTCTCTGTGTCACCCAGGCTGGAGTGTAGTGGTATAGTCAACAGCTCGCTGAAGTCTCAGGCTTAACTGATTCTCCTGCCCAACTTCCCCAGTAGCTGGAATTGCAGGCACATACCACCAAGCCTAGCTATTTTTTTTTTTTTTAGTAGAGATGATGAGGTCTCATTATGTTGCCCAGACTGGTCTCAAACTCCAGGCCTCATGTGATCTTCCGACCTGGGCCTCCCAAAGTGTAAGAATTATAGGTGTGAACCACTGCACCTGGCCCCATTTCACTGTAAAATATAAGACTTTTGGTGGGGCATGGTGGCTCATGCCTGTAATCTCAGCACTTTGGGAGGCCAAGACAGGCAGATCACCTGAGATAAGGAGTTTGAGACCAGCCTGGCCAACATGGTGAAACCCTGACTCTACCAAAAAATATAAAAGTTAGCCAGGCATGGTGGCATGTGCCTGTAGTTCCAGCTACTGGGGAGGCTGAGGCAGGAGAATTGGTTGAACCCATAAGGCAAAGGTTGCAGTGAGCCAAGATCACACCACTGCACTCCAGCCTGGACAACAGAGTAAGACTCTCTCTCAATAATAAAAGTAAAAATATAAATAAATAAAATATAAGACTTTCTAAACCTAGTCTATGAGTACTATTATAACTTTGTCTTTCTAAAAATAAATCCTAATAGAATTCTAGAAAAGTACACAGCAACTCGAAATATTCTCTAACAGGCACTTTCTGATGTAACAAAAAATCATCTTGTCCTCCTAGTTGCCAGATTGGATTTTCTAATTCCATTCTAGACCAAAAGGAACCAAAGCTCCAATGAGAAATGGCTATTTACAAATCTTCTGCAGTGAACGTGCAAAGCTACTCACCTTGTTGACCCAGAAAACAAGAAAGTTTTCAAAAATTAACAAGGTTGTGTCAAAAGAACTCAGGAGCCAGCCTGAAAGGTACTTCAATTAACCAAAGTTGGGACAATTTGAGCAACAAAAGAACACTGATCATAATGGACTGAATCAATGAAATCAACTAAAATGAATCACTGAATCAATAAAAATCCGTAAGTACAGAAAGATACTAAAAAAGAGAACACACACACACAAAAGGTTTTTGTCACTATCTGAAAAAGCTATTAAATTAAACTCTTATTTACAAATAGGTAAACTGAAATTAAACATTTGTCCTCACTTTCTAATAGTGACTAAATTTGAAGGTAACCAAAAAGCCCTGGTTAATGAGGAAAAATTCTGCTTTTGAAGAATGAAGAATGCAGCTAATGAAAATAGAAAAATTTAATTTTATTTAATATATATATTTATATATGTATATATAACATATTATATATACATATATAAATATATATAAATAAATTTAATATATATTTATATATGTATAAATTTAATATATATATTTATATATGTATATATAATATATATAACAATAATATATTATATTATATATATTTATTTATGTTTATATACATATACATATATATATTTTTTTTTTTTTTTGAGATGGAGTTTTGCTGTTGTTACCCAGACTGGAGTGCAATGGCGCAATCTCGGCTCACCGCAACCTCCGCCTCCTGGGTTCAAGCAATTCTCCTGCCTCAGCCTCCCAAGTAGCTGGGACTACAGGCGTGCACCACCATGCCCAGCTAATTTTTGTATTTTTAGTAGAGACGGGGTTTCACCTTGTTGACCAGGATGGTCTCGATCTCTCGACCTCGTGATCCACCAGCCCTGGACTCCCAAAGTGCTGGGATTATAGGCGTGAGCCACCACGCCCGGCCTAATCTACCATATATTTCAACCAGAATTATTTATCTTGAACCCATCAAGCCTTTACATATAAATTCCAAATTACAGAAACACAGGAGATGAAGGTAAATGCTAAATGACACTACAGAATGCAACAAGACTTAGTCTCTCCAATAAGCCATTACCACAGAAACAGGGACTATGTTAGATTTACAGAGTATTAAGGAACCTAACAACCAGATGCACTATGTAGTCCTGGATTAAATCCTGGTTTGGATAAATCTGTTATATAGAGTTTTTTGGGCCAGGCACGGTGGCTCATGCCTGTAATCCCAACATTTTGAGAGGCCGAGGTGGTCGCATGATGAGATCAGGAGATTAAGACCATCCTGGCCAACACGGTGAAACCCCATCTTTACTAAAAACACCAAAAATTAGCCAGGCCTGGTGGCACATGCCTGTAGTCCCAGCTACTCGGGAGGCTAAGACAGTAAAATTGTTTGTATCTAGGAGGCAGAGGTCGCAGTGAGCCAAGATTGTACCACTGTACTCCAGCCTGGGCAACAGAGCAAGATTTCTTCTCAAAAAAAAATAATATTTTGGGGTCAACCAGGAAAACCAAAAACTGTAATAAGGTCTGGGTATTAGACAAGATAAAAAGTTACCGAAATGAGCCGGGCGCGGTGGCTCATGACTGTGGTCCCAGCACTTTGGGAGGCCGAGGCGGGTGGATCACGAGGTCAAGAGATCAAGACCATCCTGGTCAACATGGTGAAACCCCGTCTCTACTAAAAATACACAAAATTAGCTGGGCATGGTGGCGCATGCCTGTAATCCCAGCTACTCGGGAGGCTGAGGCAGGAGAATTGCCTGAACCCAGGGTGAGCTGAGATCGCGCCATTGCACTCCAACCTGGGTAACAAGGGCGAAACTCCGTCTCAAAAAAAAAAAAACAGTATTGTAAATATATTTGATTTTAGTAAAAAATACATATACAAATACATAGAGCCATACACACACACATTCACCTAGAAGAAGACACAAAATTCAGATTCTAAGGATTAAGATGAATAAAGAAAAAGATTAAAAAAAAATGCTACTATATTATGTCTCAATTTTTGCATGTAGTGGCATAAAACAACACAAATTTATTATCTGACAAATTATTATGGCTGGATGCTCTTCTCAGTATCCTTAAACTAAAATCAAGGCATCGGCAGGGCTACAGTTTCCATCAGGGGCTTGTAGTCCTCTTACAATCTCATTGACTATTAGCAGAATTCATTTCCTCCTTGCTTCATGTCTGCAATGGTGCAGAAAATCCTTCCCATACTTCATATCTCTCTGACCTCTCCTACACAGGCTGGAGAAAGCACTTTGCTTTTAAGGGCTCACGTCATTAGACTAGGCCCACAGGATAATCTTTCCAATCTGTCAAATGTGCTAGGTAACATCATAATCATGGGAATGACACCTTATCATATTCATAGGTTCTGGGGATTAGAGTGGGGAATCTTGGGAAGGGGAGGCATTTTCAGAGTTCTGACTACTACAGCCACAAGAAGTTTTTAAAAAATCAATTAAAACAGTTTTCTTACCTGTTAATAATGAACCATGCAACAGTAAGCATTCCTGCTAGCCATGTTCCACTCATAAGCCAACTTGTAACAAATAAAGCAGTAACATATATTCCTTGCAATCCAAAAACAATGCCAATATAGAAATACACTGGCTCAATAATCTCCTATGTGAAAAAAAACAAAAAGAACAAGATAGTAAGATGGCATTAAATCATCTGAGGATTCATGAATACATGAGAAAATAAATATTAGGGTCAAAAGAAAAATACATACATTGCTACCAGTGGCTTGATATAAAACACTAGCAATAAGTTCCGGATATAGAGACATTTGCTGCACTGCATTTATAGTCTTCAGAGATACAGTTTTGTTATTGTGTGTCAGTTCATAAACACCTAAAGACAGAAAGATTTTTCTCCAGATTATTTACTCTGCTTTACGGTAATTAAACAAACACATCATTCATTCATTACTCATTAAATATTTAATATTGTTATCAAGAAAGATTCCAAATAGAATACTCCATGCTGCATTTTTCCAATTTTTAAAAATTTAGCACAATAAAGACAATATCTATATTCTGAGACAAATCCCCACATTGAAATGTCCCCGTATAGTAAAACAGAGGTTACTAGAGGCTGGGAAGAGTAGAGAGGAGGGGAGGATAGGGAGAGTTTGGTTAATGGATACAAAATTACAGCTAGATGGGAAGAATAACTTCTAGTGTTCTGTAGTACTATAGAATGAATATGGTTAACAACAATTTAGTGTATCTTTTCAAAAAGATGAGAGTTGATTTTGGATGCTCATAACACAAAGAAGTGATATATGTCCAATATGATGGATATGCTAACTACCATGATTTGATCATTACACATTGTGTACATATCAAAACACCACTTCCCATAAATATGTACAATTATTACATGTCAAGTAAAAATGAAAGGAGGAAGAAAGGTTCTAATAGAGAAGAACAATGTTTTATTTAAGAAAAATATTGTTATTAGGGCTGGGCACTGTGGCTCACGCCTATAATCTTAGCACTTTGGGAGGCCAAGGCGGGTGGATCATGAGGTCAAGTTTGAGACCAGCCTGGCCAACATGGTGAAACCCCGTCTCTACTAAGAATACGAAAATTAGCCGGACATGGTAGTATGTGCCTATAATCCCAGCTTCTTGGGAGGCTGAGGCAGGAGAATTGCTTGAACCCAGGAGGCGGAGGTTGCAGTGAGCCGAGATCACGCCACTGCACTCCAGGCTGAGCAACAGGGCAGGACTCCGTCTCGGAAAAAAAACAAAAAAAATTGTTATTAAAAATATAACTGTGATTATCATACCTCTTTCAAATGAAGGTGCCTTTAACATATCTTTATAATAGGAGTAATAAATGGCACTGTCACCCTGAAATGTGATTTCCCGTTCAAGCTCCTAAAAGAAAATAAAATGATTATTTAAAATTTAATTTTTTTGTTTTTTAAGAGATGGAGTCGCTCTCTGTTACCTAGGCTGGAGTGCAGAGACACAATCATGACTCACTGGAACCTCAAATGATCCTCCCATCTCAGCCTACCCAATAGCTAGGACCACAGGTACATAACGGGTGTATTTTTGTTTTTGTTTTAATGAAGGAAGTCTCAACGTTGTCCAGGCTGGATTATTTAAAGTTTTAAATTTTGGCCTCTGGCCCAGTGTGGTGGCTTACACCTGTAATTCCAGCACTTTGGGAGGGCAAAACACTTGAGGTCAGGAGTTTGAGACCAGCCTAGCCAACAGGGTGAAACCCTGTCTCTACTAAAAATATCAAAATCAGCCAGGCATGATGGTGCACATCTATAATCCCAGCTACTTGGGAGGCTGGAGAATCGCTTGAACCTGGGAGCCAGAGGTTGCAGTGAGCCCAGATCCCACCACTGCACTTTAGCCTGGGCCACAGAGTGAGACTCTGTCTCAAAAAATAATAATAAAATAAATTTCAGCCTCAATCTTCTGTTTCCCTCCTCACCTTCCACATTTAACATGTTAATAATATTTATCCTTTTATTCAAAGACATGTTTGAATTTTCCTTAATTACTAGTGGCCCCATTAATGAGGAACTTAATTTTTTTTAAGTAATCTGGCAATAATTTTGAAACACTTGAGGCTTAAAATAAATTATAAATCACAAGCCATCAAATATAAAGAAAATCTAGAAGGAAAACCTGAAGACATGCCCTAAGAATGGCAAGAATAGTGAAACAGGCAATAACAAATGACAGCTGAAGTGTTAGAAATCCAAAAAAGAAGAAGAAAAAAAAGAAATCCAAAAAAGACAAGTTTAAGGAGAAAGTCGTATTTTCTATTACTGTTCCTCATCTCTATGTATCCAGAACAGCAAGTCTTTAGTACGTTGCAAGAGCGGCAGATACTTAATCAGTGCTCTTCAAATGAACTTCCAGAGGTACAGCAAATCTTAAAATTCCTACAATCAGGCTAATTAGAACTAAGAATATAATAGTAAAAATAACATTAGGAGGCCTTGTGCTTTTTGGACTGAATCAAAATTTTATGAATCTATAATCTTTTAAAATCAAATGAATTATTTTTATGCATAATATGTATCAAGTAATACAAAACCAAAATATATTATTAGAGCACTTTCCACAAAGTTTTGCATAATATGTATCAAGTAATACAAAAACAAAACATATTATCAGTTAGAGCAATTTTCACAAAGTTTGATCAACAGAACTTCCTAAAATGTTAATGGATGTTACCAAAAAAGAATTCTTGTTACCAAAAAAGAATTATTCAGTTAAATAAGTTTTGAGAAAGACTGGATGAAGCAAAGTTAAATTATAAGACTTTTCAGAGTTTCAGTACATCTTATATATTGTGAATCTCCACTTTCCAGATCTATTTTTCCCCACCTTGAGCTTGCTATGGTCTGAATACATGTGTCCCCTAAGAAGATATTTGGAAGTGGGATATCTGGGAGGTGATTAGGGTCATGAGGGCAGTTCCCTTGTGAGGGATTAATGTCCTTATAAAAGAGGCCCCACAGAGATCACTTGCTCCTTCCACCGTGTGAAGATGCAGCAAGATGATCTCTGCTATAAACCAGGAAGCGAGCCCTCACCAGATACCAAATCTGCCCGTGCCTTGATCTTAGACTTCTCACCCTCCAGAACTGTGAGAAATAAATTTCTGTTTTTTATAAGCCACTCAGCTTATGGTACTTTATTATAGCAGTCTGAATGAACTAAGAGCTTACTGACCTAAATAAATTACTTTAAAAAATTTTTTATAAATGCAAACATTTGTTTTTAACATTTCAAAGATGTAAACTCTCAATCAGCGCTTCTCAAATCTACCAGGTATATGAAATATCTGGAGACCTTATTAAAATGTAGATTCTGATTTTAAAGTGGGGTCTGAGAGTCTATGATTCTGAAAATGCTCCCGGGTTCTGCCAGTGCTCCTCGCCCATACACAAAGCTTTGTAAAACAAAGTTCTTGATGAAGGCCTTCTAATTTTCAAAGCTTTGATTATTCTCAGTTCTGCCTACAACATAATCACCTGAAAGTATATATCCACATACTGATCATAGCCTGTCCCTCTGCCCCTACCTAAGAATCTAAGAGGGAGCTTATCTTTGAGAGCTCCTTAGATGATTCTATCATACATCCATTGTTGAGACCTGCAGTTAATCAATCTGCGTAACATTTTCAGGAAATAATATATGCTACAGTAATAGCTAAATCAAGACAGACATAGTAATTACTCAGTTAAATGTCTTGATGGTGTTAATTAAACCAATGGGTTTAAAACAGTCAGCTCGGCTGAACGCGGTGGCTCATGCCTATAATCCCAGCACTTTGGGAGGCTGAGGCGGGTGGATCACGAGGTCAAGAGATCGAGACCATGCTGGTCAACAAGGTGAAACCCCATCTCTACTAAAAATACAAAAATTAGCTGGGCATGGTGGTGCACGCCTGTGGTCCCAGCTACTCGGGAGGCTGAGGCAGGAGAATTGCTTGAACCCAGGAGGTGGAGGTTTCCATGAGCTGAGATTGTGCCATTGCACTCCAGTCTGGGTAACAAGAGCGAAACTCCGACTCAAAAAAAAAAAAAAAAACAGTCAGCTTTACTAAAAAATAAGAACAACAAAAAACTCAGTGTGGGCTCAAAAATTTAAAAACCCTACAAAGCCAAGAGGACTTTGCAAACAAACTTATTCAAAAGTCAAATTATGAAATTATGAATACAATTATAGTGACTGAAGAACCTGGAAATATAAATGATTTAAAACCAAACACTAAACACAGTAATATGAGGCAACATTTTAATTAATACTACATGATGCCTGTTAATCACTTTCAACCCCCTCAAAAACATTCGAATCATGTGACCTAAAAATTAAAAGATTTTAATACTGACACTTCCACAGATTGTTTCTGAAATGTGAACTACCTACCAAAACTATGGAAAAGGCTGAGTAGACCGGGCGCATTGGCTCACGCCTGTAATCCCAGCACTTTGGGAGGCCGAGATGGGTGGATCACGAGGTCAGGAGTTCCAGACCAGCCTGGCCAACATGGTGAAACCCCATCTCTTAAAAAAAAAAAAAAAAAAAAAAAAAAGGCTGACTAAACTCCATAAAATTTCACTGTCATCAAAAGTCCCTGATAAATTAATTGCACAAAGGAGAACATCCTCATAGTTTTATTCTATGAAATATACTATTAAGTATTTTAAGGTTGATACTATAACTATAATCTCGAGTTTCTGGAGCATTTTGTTTCTAATAGCCATAAATGAGACAGCACTTACACTTATCATACATATATTCTGGTTCCCTGGGAAAATAACTTTCATATGCTCAAAATTCATTCTTCTTACCTGCCTGTTGGAAAACCAGAATTTCCGTTCATGGTATGCTGACAAGTAGAGAGCATACATCATACCACTAGTAACCGCTGCAAGACAGCCAATGAAAATCTTTGCAAAGCGTTGAAATAATACATCTGAAAAAACATATTAAAAGTAATCAAAAGGTAGTATGTACCCTTGATATGATGTGATTAAAAATGACATTCTACCTCTGTGGTCTTTGTACTCAAAACCCACAACTCGAGTCTAATTGTAAGAAAAGTGTCAGATAAATTCCAATAGAGGGGCATCCTACAAATATATCTTTCAAACTGTGAAGGTCATCAAAAACAAGAGCTTGAGAAAGTATCAAAGCCAAAAGGAGCTTAACAGAGATAACAACTAAGTGTCATGTGGTGTTTTGGATGGGATCCTAGGACAGAAAAAAGACATTAGGGGCCAGGCACAGTGACACTTTGGGAGGCCAAGGCAGGCGGATCACTTGAGGTAAGGAGTTTGAGACCAGCCTGGCCAACATGGTGAAACTAAAATACAAAAATGAGTTGGCTGTGGTGGCACACGCCTGTAATCCCAGCTACTAGTGAGGCTGAGGCACAAGAATCACTTGAACCTGGGAGGTAGAGGTTGCAGTAAGCCGAGATCATGCCATTGCACTCTAGCCTGGGGAGAGAGTAAGATTCCATCTCAAAAAAAAAAAATTAGGTGAAATCTGAATATCTGAATAACATCTGATCTTAAGTTAATAATGTATCAATATTGCTTCATTAATTGTTTAACAAATGTACCACACTAATGTAAAATGTTAATAATAAGGGAAACACCATGTGTGGGAGTGTAATATAGGAACTCTGAATATCTATCTGCTCAATTCTTCTGCAAATCTGAAATTATTTTAAAAATTAAAGTCTATATTCTGCAGGAGGAAAAAGTTCTAAGATCTGTGTCACAACATAAATATACTTAACACAGTATACTTAAAAATGGTTAGGATGGGGCTAAGTGTGGTAGCTCTTGCCTATAACCCCAGCACTTCCAAAGGTGGGCAAATTGCTTGAGCTCATGAGTTCGAAACCAGACTGGGTAACACGGTAAAATCACGTCTCATCAAAAAATCCAAAAAAATTAGCCAGTGTGGTGGTAGGTGCCTGTAATCCCAGCTACTTGAGAGGCTGAAGGAGGAGAACTGCTCTAGCTCAGGAGGCAGAGGTTGCAGTGAGCCAAGATCACACCACTGCACTCCAGCCTGGGAAACACAGCCAGACCTTGTCTTAAAAAAAAAAAATGTTAGGGCAGGAGCACTGGTAAAGAAATAAAAATTAAAAAAAATAAAAATGTTAAGATGGTGCAAAAAATTAGTCTAATATTAAAACATAATCAAAAGAAATGTATATCCCAATATCTAAAAAAAGTACAGGTTCATTCAGAAATCTTTTTTTTTTTTTAATGATTTTTTTCTGTATTGAAGACTAACTTACTATAAACCTGAAGCCATATGTACAACTCAGTAAATTTTGATTATTATGTTTTAAAAGATCACATACAACCGTTATATATGGAAACAAACTACTTCTTTTTTAAATTTTATTTTATTTTTGTAGAGACAGACTTCTTGCTATGTTGCCCAGGCTGGTCTTGAACACCTGGTCTCAAGCGATCTTTCTACTTTAGCCTCCTAAATTGCTGAGATTACAGGCATGAGCCACTGCATCCAGACTGTAACTACTTCTTAATGAGATAACATAAGACACATTTGGATTTTATATACACAAGGTGATTCAGTCCTGCTACAGACATTGAGTATAATAAGCATAATAAATAAAATAAGGGACTAATGGCCTAAAACCCAGTGTTCTATTACTGAATGACTGACAATAAAAATCAACTTTATTTTTGGCTAAACTAAAATTTTGGTTATTTTCATAACATTTTATAATACATGATAGTTTGTATAGCATGTTACAAGTGTGTTGTTATGCAAACTAGTATTAAATGGAGTAACTAATTAAATATCAATAAATTAATAAGAATTATATTCTAAATGTTTGAAAAACTATATGCAATAAATCCAATATTAGCATCAATATGATACAAGTGTGGAGTTTTTTTTGTTTTTTGTTTTTTTTGAGACAGAGTTTTGCTCTTGTTTGCTCTTGTTGCCCAGGCTGGAGCATAATCGTGTAATCTTGGCTTACGGCAACCTCCGCCTCCCAGGTTCAAGCAATTCTCCTGCCTCAGCCTCCCGTAGCTGGGATTACAGGCATGTGCCACCACACCTGGCTAATTTTGTATATTTCGTAGAGATGGGCCTGGCCAAGATGACCTCAGGTGATCCATCCCCCTCGACATCCCAAAGGCAGAGGTTGCAGGGAGCTGAGGTCCTGCCACTGCACTCCAGCCTGGGTGACAGAGCAAGACTCTGTATAAAAAATACATACATACATACATACATGCAAAAATAAATTATAGCTGTAAATACAACTATATTCTGAAATTTGTGAGTCCTTCTAGCTAATAACCAAACAAGGGGGTGGTCTTGAGAACCCCTGACACAAAACAGATAATCTGTCTTTTTAGTTCATACATCTCTGGATTAGCATGAGTCATAGCTGGCCCTGATGTAGATAAGCCCTTGGGTCCAAGATTAAGGCTGTACTACATAAGACAGAGTCTTACTTAGGGTGTGGGCAGAAGTAAATATATTTTGTCTGAGACAGGGAAATATTTGTGATCACAAGGACAGGGTATGGTAAACTATATTATTATTCACAACTATTTTCTCCTTCCCTGTAAAAAGGTTATACATCTCTGCCCACTACCATGTGACCTGGAACACTTCCCTATAGTCAAAGTATACTTCTCACTCCATCATCTGGATTGATTATATAACTTGCTTGGGCCAATAGAAGGTGCGTACACGTGACAGTGTGCCAGGTCAGCAGAAACTTTAAAAGGTATTACATGATTCTGCCTGTTCTTTTCCTGTGTCTCAAGAAAAATGTTTCCCAAATAGGGGCTGTTCCTTCACGACACATAAAACTACGACAGCCAAACTGCAGCCACAACATGTAATATTAGAAATAAATGTTTGTCAGGCTGGGCATGGTGGCTCATGCCTATAATCCAAGCACTTTGGAGGCCAAGGCAGGCGGATCACCTGAGGTCGGGAGTTCAAGACCAGCCTGACCAACATGGTGAAACCCCATCTTAAAAAAATAATAAAAATAAAAAATAAATTTAAAAAATTTAAAAATTAAAAAAAAAAAAAAAAAAGAAATGTTTGTCATAAACCAGTGAGATTTGGGAGTTGCTCTCCAGTAAAACCTAGTGAAAGCTGACCATATACTTAATCTCAAAATGTGTATATTTAAAATATTAATATAAAATATACTTTCTATCATAACTATTTTTGTAGTAGCACAAAAACTCCAAGTCTATCTAACTTACATTTTGGAGCTCTTTCAGGAATTGGAATGTCATTGATTCTCTCTTCTTTGGCAGATTCCTTTTCTGATGACTTTGGCTTTTTTCTTTGGCGCAGCTCTACAGGTGGTCCTTAAAATATTTAAGACATTATTGCAATGTGTGTATAAAATTGTTCTAATTTGTATCCTGAGTCAATTAACCTTTATTATTCTAAAGCAAAAGTACCACTGAGACCTATTAGTACCAAAGATAACCTTGTTATAACATAATTATTTTGGCACCCCTGCAAAATTTTCTTTTGTCTAAAAAAAGACAATTTAGGTTCTACCCCCCACCATCTGTGTTTTGACAATCCTATTGGTAAACCAATGAGCTCTTCTCCTGAGATGATACTATTTTCAAAACATCCCAAAATAAGTAAGCTCTTTTCTAATTTGGGGGTCAAGGTGTTATTTAGCTCATAATTCTAGTTACCTGAAAGTATCAAATGCATAATTGATGGTTTAACTATTTTTTAAAAATCAAAACATAAAATACATTCATCAAAAACTATACTTCTTTTGTTAAATAATCATGAAAGTTCTGCAAATTTCAGTGCTGTGGTATCATCAGCATTGTATAATCTTATAGATTTAAGTATTAGAAAAAAGGCTGAGCCTATGAAGATACCAATATATGAGAAACTCTCAGAATAATTTCCTAGGATTAGACTATCTTTCTCTTCTAGCTCCAATTTTAGAAAATGTGATGCAGAAGTTATCTCCAAACTAGTAAACTACACTCCAAGTTAAACAGGAATGTACTATGTACAATTTATAATTTTCCTTCCTAGAATTAATCATATGGTAGGATAGATTACTGTAACTACAGAGTGTTCCTGCCAAGTTATAAAGTGGTACAATAATTTATCTTTCTCATGGAAGTGGAAGACAGTTTTCTCTTTTTCTCTTAGTAATAACTTCAAGCTACGAAATGTGAAAATAAATATAGAAGTCAAAGAAGGAGCCGGGTGTGGTGGCTCATGCCTGTAATCCCACCACTTTGGGAGGCTAAGGCAGGCGGATCACGAGGTCAGGAGATAGAAACCACCCTGGCTAACATGGTGAAACCCTGTCTCTATTAAAATTACAAAAAATTAGCCAGGCATGGTGGCACGTGCCTGTAGTCCCGGCTACTCAGGAGGCTGAGGCAGAAGAATCACTTGAACCCAGGAGGTGGAGGTTTCAATAAACCGAGATCACACTGCACTCCTTCCTGGGCAACAGAGCAAGACTCATCTCAAAAAAAAAAAAAAAAAAAAAAAGTCAAAGAAGGTAAAATGAATCAGCTGCTGCTGATCAGATGGATGTTCTCAGCTTTACTGGAAAATGAATAAAATAAATGTATTTTAAAATAGCTTCATAGCAAACTTGCATGTTCCCTAAAATATGTTTCAACACTGGCATAGTGAGAAAAACAAGCTGTACATTTAGTGGATTCAGACTGATGAGTCTAATGTTTACCTATTTCTATACTACCATTAATTCTGTAGTCACATTAAGCAGTGAAATCAATGAATATATTTTGAAATGACATTATTAGGCTGGGCATGGTGGCTCACACCTGTAATCCTAGCACTTTGGGAGGTCAAGGTGAGTGGATCACCTGAGATCAGGAGTTCGAGACCAGCCCGGCCAACATGGTGAAACCCTGTCTCTACTAAAAATACAAAAGTTCGCCAGGCATGGTGGTGCGCTCCTGTAATCCCAGCTACTTGGGAGACTAAAGCAGGAGAATCACGTGAACCCAGTAGGCAGAGGTTGCAGTGAGTCAAGATCAAGCCATTGCACTCCAGCCTGGGTGACACAGGGAGACTTTGTCCCAAAAACAAAACAAAAAAATAAAAAATGACATTATTAGAAAAACATACTCCAGACTTTATTTCTGCATATAAATCTAGGTCAATTAGTAAATATTACTATATGTTTTCCTCATTATGCCTCTTTAAATTTCCCCTGCTATAGGTTAAAGTAAAAGTTAGAAGGAATCAACAAGAATATTTATGCAAAATCAAATAAAGTCTTCAAAAGCAAATTATTATTTTTAATTTTATTTTAAAGAATACAAGGGGAAAATATAACCACAAGAAGTTTACTTAGTAGGTACACTTGCATGATTAATCACATAATAGCATTGGACTTTAAAACATTTAATTGGGTAATTTCAGAAATTAAACTAACAAATCTATTGAGATAGTAAACAAATATATTATACGTGACCAATGGGCTAGGTAATGGGTCTTTTCCATTAGAGTCTAAAAACACACACTTAAATTGGGAGGGGAATAGTCACATAAAACGTGTTCTTACAAAAAACAATCATTTTCTTTTTTAAGAATGTTCTTATAAAAAATCAGCCAGGAGAAGCGGCTCACACCTATATAATCCCAGCACTTTGGGAGGCCCAGGTGGGTAGATCACAAGGTCAAGAGATTGAGACCATCCTAGTCAACATGGTGAAACCCCGTCTCTACTAAAAATACAAAAATTAGCTGGGCATGGTGGCGCACCCCTGTAGTCCCAGCTATTCGGGAGGCTGACGCAGGAGAACTGCTTGAACCCATGAGGCAGAGGTTGCGGTGAGCCGAGATCGAGCCATTGCACCACTCCAGCCTGGGTAACAGGAGTGAAACTCCGTCTTAAAAAAAAAATCGCTTTGTAGGACTTTAATTAAACATGTTATCTTTGTGCCTATTAATAAATTTTATTTATAAAAGTACAACTTACACAAAAATTTTGCATAAATTTTCAAGTAATTCATCAAGTATACAAATCTCAACAATCATCTCTCAACAATTTATATTAGCAATGATCAAGGACTATACAAATAGGTAATCTATAAAAGACCTAAAATATTATATTGTCCCAATTCTAAGATGTCATACATTTGAAGATATTACTTAATAGGTTATTTAAGGGGTTAAAAAAAAAAACACTGTCATATTGAATGTATGCACTAATTTTAAAACATATCAATTTTAGTGGCATTGAATTGTAAGACTGAAAAGTACAACTTGATAAATTCAGTATTCATTTTAGCTCATCTCTTCAACCTTTTCCCTAAAGGTAACTTTTCATATAATTTCATAATGGAAAAACAAAGCCAACATCTCTAGGTGGAAAAATGGCAAAGGTCAAAGAACTGGACAAATGAGATTATTAGTTCTGACAGGAAAGCTCTGCAATGTCATTCAAGTTTCCTTTTCACTATCTTTTTTTTTTTTTTGAGACAGAATTTCACTCTTGTTGCCCAGGCTGGAGTGCAGTGTCGTGGCTCACTGCCAACTGCTGCCTCCCTGGTTCAAGCGATTCTCTTGCCTCAGCCTCCCGACTAGCTGGGATTACAGGTGCCCGCCAAAACGTCCAGCTAATTTTTTGTATTTTTAGTAGAGACAGGGTTTCACCACGTTAGTCAGGCTGATCTCGAATTCCTGACCTTGTGATTCGCCCGCCTTAGCCTCCCAAAATCCTGAGATTACAGGCATGAGCCACCTCGTCCGGCTGCTCCTTTTCACTATATTTTTAGCATCGTAAAGAAAAAGTCAAACTAAATGAAGGTGATTACACATCCACAAAAGTAACCTGCTATTTCAGATCTCAGTCCAGTGATCTTCATATGAAATAGCAGGCCTACAAACAGGCTTTCAAATATCCTTCCAGGCTATACATACTAGTTTCCAAGTGAAATGTTAACACTGCTCTACTCAAGCTTGTCACTTCTTTCTTTGCTCTAACACTGCTTTCAGAAAGCATAAATATAAACACCCTGACCCTCTGTTGCATCGAGGAAGACATTTTTAAAAAGACCAGATGCCCAAGTAAAATATACAGACTGTTTAGTCTAATTTTAACACAGCAAATACAAGATAATAGGAATTTTGTGGGGGAAGCATAGAGTGGCAAATAAACATAAAACACTCTGAATGCCTGGCACAAAGACAGGTTTGCTATATGTATTATTGTTACTAGCATTATAATAAATAAAATTTAATTACTCATCTGCTATTATATCCTTGGATCTAATAGATTATGAACACAAATATTTAGGGAATTAATGTGTTGAATAAAGCAATATTTTAATAAAGTGCAACCCATTAATTGTTCCATATAAGATGTATTTAACTGCTTTTGAATTACATGTAATTCTACAACCGAAAATCATTTATCATTTTATTTATTTATTTATTTTATTTTTTTTTTTGAGACGGAGTTTCGCTCTTGTCACCCAGGCTGGAGTGCAATGGCGCGATCGCGGCTCACCGCAACCTCCGCCTCCTGGGTTCAGGCAATTCTCCTGCCTCAGCCTCCCGAGTAGCTGGGATTACAGGCACGCACCACCGTGCCCAGCTAATTTTTTGTATTTTTAGTAGAGACGGGGTTTCACCATGTTGACCAGGATGGTCTCGATCTCTCGACCTCGTGATCCACCCGCCTCGGCCTCCCAAAGTGCTGGGATTACAGGCTTGAGCCACCACGCCCGGCCTATTTATTTATTTTTTGAGATGGAGTCTCGCTTTATCGCCCAGGCTGGAGTGCAATGGTGTGATCTCGGCTCACTGCAACCTCCGCCTCCTGGATTCAAGTGATTCTTCCACCTCAGCCTCCCAAGTAGCTGGGAGTACCTACGTACCTACGCTCGCCACTACACCCGGCTAATTTTTGTTTTTGAAGCTGTTTTTTTGTTTTGTTTTGAGACAGAGTTTCACTGTTGTTACCCAGACTGGAGTGCAATGGCACGATCTCGGCTCACCGCAACCTCCGCCTTCTGGGTTCAAGCAATTCTCCTGCCTCAGCCTCCCGAGTAGCTGGGACTACAGGCGCGCACCACCATGCCCAGCTAATTTTTGTATTTTTAGTAGAGACAGGGTTTCACCTCGTTGACCAGGATGGTCTCGATCTCTTGACCTCGTGATCCACCCGCCTAGGCCTCCCAAAGTGCTGGGATTATAGGCGTGAGCCACCGCGCCCGGCCTTGAAGCTGTTTTTAGTTAGAATGTCTTAAATTCCAGACCAGCTTTAACACTCTGAAAACTCAAGAGCAGGCAAATGTTAATCAAACCTGCATAAGGACAGGTCAGCAAGTCACAGAGCAGTAAACACTTCTTATGCTTAATTTTCAAAAACTGCTTTCCGTGAATTATTTAAACTCCTTCCTCATACTCTTGGTTCAAATAGGCCTGAGTCTAAATTAGATCAATTTGCTATCAGATCTACAGCTCCACTCATGTTTTCCGCCAGAATGCAAAAATCTAATTGCTTCTCACCATGTATAGTTCCTGAAACTAGTAGGGGTTATCATGAAGTTACTATGCCATGAATATTCCTTGTATTATCACGATCCAGTAAGTTTCATCTAACTTCCCATTTTTGTCTCATACCTGTCATTTTCTATAAATAAAATACTGCTGAATGAATTAACTATCTTAGCATTGACCCTGAGGGGGCATGGAAACCTTTCTTCAGCTCACCCACTTTCACACTCAGAGGCCTCCTGGCCTCAACATCTCCCAAAACTATAATATTTAGATGCCTTTGCTCTTTGCCGTTCCCTGCTAAACCGTAAGTGAACTTGGCTTTCTTCAGTTTCTGAGTGTCCACCCTTTCCCAATTCATCTTGCCATGTTTATCCCAAATCCCTGCCTCTTTATCCTCGTGGTGAATGTCCCCTGGCCCCCTGTGACTCTGGGTTTGTCAATTTCCGCAGTCCTTTAAAAAGCGCCTTCCGAATGAGGGGCCCTCAGTACCTAAACCAACCAAACTGCGCCCCCGACTTCACCGAGAATCTGCTCAGGAGCCTCCCTCCCAACCAGTCCCCACACAGATTTCTCTCTGGCTACGGATTCCCAACTTTCACCTCCACCTTTGCTTCCCAATTAGGCCGACAAAACTTCGGGCCATTAACTCAGCTCTCCTGAATTTCTCCGCAGCCCTCCCGGGCGCCGCGCTCCTTCCCGCCCTCCCCGCGCGGCGGAGGCCACCAGCAACTCCAGCTCAGACCTCCGACGCCCCCGCCCCTCCTTCCCGAGACCACGGGCGGCCACTGGCGTGCTGGACCCCGGGGCCATCACCTTCTTCCTCCGCCATCGTCTCTGCGGAGGCCGGGGCGCCCTCCGGCTCCCGCGCGGCCCGGAGTCTCCCTCCCTCCGCGTCGCCGAATCCCTCGGCCACCCGGAGCCCGCTCCCGGCCACCGCGCCCCCACTTCCTGACCCGCCCCCCCTCCGGTGTCGCCGCCAACAGCGTCCCTGCAGGCGGCCTGGGAACTAGAGTGCTGGGAGCGGGGGGCGGCCGGAGCGTTTCGCTGGGGCGCCGGGGCCTGCGCGGGCAGGAAGGAGACTCGAAGCCGAGGGCGCCGCCCACAGCAGCAGCTCACGGCCGCCGCCTACCCTGGGAAGCGAGACTGGTGGGTCTCACTGCAGCTCCGCCCCTCGTCCTACTCTTCCCAAAAAGTGGGGGCGTGCTTTCCGCCACTTTTGTGACTGCTTCTTAGCGAGTCAGAGATGATCGTCAGTGACACCTCCCAGTTCCAGCCTCCGTTCCCGCCCATTTTGCACGGAGGAAACTGAGGTTTAGCTTGGTAGAAGTCACAAAGCAGGTCAGAGGCAGAACTGGAACTCGGTCCTCCGTAACTGCCATCCCTGCCTGTGTTCTCGCTGGGATTTCATAGTGCAGCAGCAAAACCTTCTTGGTTGGCGCTTTAGTTTAGTAGGCCACTTGACCATTCCAAGAAAGCAGTTTGTGCTCGAACTTTACTGTTTTGTTTTGTTTTGTTTTGTTTTGTTTTGTTTTGTTTTGAGACGGAGTTTCGCTGTTGTTACCCAGACTGGAGTGCAATGGCACGATCTCGGCTCACCATAACCTCCGCCTCCTGGGTTCAAGCAATTCTCCTGCCTCAGCCTTCCGAGTAGCTGGGATTACAGGCGCGCACCACCATGCCCAGCTGATTTTTGTGTTTTTAGTAGAGACGGGGTTTCACCTTGTTGACCAGGATGGTCTCGATCTCTTGACATCGTGATCCACCCACCTCGGCCTCCCAAAGTGCTGGGATTATAGGCGTGAGCCACCGCGCCCGGCCGAACTTTACTGTTTTAAATCACCCAAACTGGTTAAAAAAATACGTCATGATATTCGGGGGGCGGGGAACAGTAATACTACCGTCTAGGGGAGAGCAGTGTGCAGTTAGGCATAGATATTCCACAGCAATAGGAAATAATTTTTAATGTGTTAAACTGTTTGTGTTTTAACTTTCATTATATCTAGCATTCTTCAACAAACACCGGGATCTTTTCCCCAACAGTACTCAGAATTAAATTTAGGAAATGACAAAATACCCATTTTAAATCGGGAGATGCAAGCACGAGAATTCACTGAAGTGATGGGGTAATTATGGACATCCAATTATAAGGAAGCAGTTCTCCTAATAGCACCTTTAAGGATATTTGGGGAGAAGCTATCAGTTTTTAGTGATGTGCAGAAACAGGTCCAGGAATTTTTTTTTTTTTTTTTTTTCTGAGATGGAATCTTGCTCTGTCACCCAGGCCAGAGTACAGTGACAAGATCTAGGTTCACTCCAACCTCCATCTCCCAGGTTCAAGCGATTCTCATGCCTCGGCCTCCCCAGTATCTGGGATTACAGGTGCACGACACCACCTAATTTTTGCAGTTTTAGTAGAGACGGGATTTCACCACGTTGGCCAGGCTAGTCTCCAATTCCTGGCCTCAAGTGATCCGCCCGCCTCAGCCTCCCAAAATGCTGAGATTGCAGGTGTGAGCCACCGCGCTGGGCCTCCAGAAACTCTTTATGTTTGGGTCCCCGTAAAGATGTCTTTTGCCTTAAAACAACACTTTTTTTTATATATAATTTTTTATATAATTCACCAGCAATTATAAACAGTGGATCAGAAAAGGCCTGGAATCAGAGCCGAGATAGAACAGAATATAAGGACCCTGAAAGCCACAGAATATGGCAGGGCCCCTGGACATGGGCAACAGATACCTGAGTATCCTACTTATCGGATCAGCTGGCTGAAAGAGCTGTACCTCTTGGAAAACATACCGTGGCTATTGAGGTTGGCTGTTTTCTGTTTAGATGACTAATGGACTAAATGTTAAGTTTCCCTGGCCTATACAAATAACGGGGTAAAGAAAAATGATAGAAAAAAATAGCTTCTTAGGCAGGGCATGGTGGTTAATGCCTGTAATACCAGCACTTTGGGTGGCCGAAGAGTGTGGATCACCTGAGGTCAGGAGTTTGAGACCAGCCTGGCCAACGTGGTGAAACCCCGTCTCTACGAACAATACAAAAATTAGCTGGGCATGGTGGTACACACCTGTAATCCCAGCTAATCAAGAGACTAGGGCAGGAGAATTGCTTGAACGTGGGAAACGGAGGTTGCAGTGAGCCGAGATTGTGCCAGTGCACTCCAGCCTGGGCAACAGAATGAGACTGTTTCGAAAATAAATAAATACATAAATATAGCTAATTAAAATAATGGAAATATAAAATAAGATAGCGATAATTATTCCCTAGTAGAAGCATTCTTCTCTTGAACCCTAAAAACCCACATAAGAATGAGAGTGGAGTATGTTATTCTAAAACCAGTGTAATCTTACTGTGAAAAAAATAGGTTGTTGTTATTCAAAATGTATACTTCATTCAAAAAGAATAGAAGCTGAACTGCTCAAGATGTTGCCTTGCAGCAGGCATTACAGCTGAGTTTTCAGCAGGTAATTTTGTAATCCCTAAGGCCAGCTGCTTCCAGATAGCTAGTGGACACAGGGTCATAAGATGACTTCAGACAATATTCTGATTGATTGTTTTACCACTACAAAACTGTGGGCTGCTAGTTTCCTATCCAAGATGTGAAGGAGCATTTCATTACCTTTGCCTCACGCTGACCAATCCTAAACAATCCACATCTTCCCATATTTTCTGTTGTTTATGAGCTATTCAAAGAGCAATATGATTTTCTGCCATCTCTAGATGTTTGAGGACCTCTTCTCTATGCAATGGGGTATTTTAAGGACATAATGTAAAATATTCTTTGTTTTAAAAAGTTAAGTCTTCAGCAAATGTAGTTTAGGAGGTTTTTATGGTAAACTGAGTAAGAAAATAAAGGCCTGGTATGAGGCAATGAAAATAAAAATGTTCAAAGAGAATGAATTTCAAAAGATGCTGGAAATAAAATCTACAGGGCCTGATGACAAATTGGATGTGATAAATGATGAGTTGAAGACGATTTCTGATGGTTCTATCTTGAAATTAATCATGTGCTTTCTATGTGCCCAGGACAATGTGCTGCCAAGATATCAGAAAAATATAAAACAAAAGGCCTTAAAACGTCTCTACTTGAAACAAACAAAAAAATACATGCAGTCTATTTTAAAAACATTCTTCTGAGGCTGGTTGAGGTGGCTCATGCCTGTAATCCCAGCTCTTTGGGAGGCCAAGGTTGGCAGATCACTTGAGCCCAGGGGTCCAAGACCAGCCTGGGCAACATGACGAAACCCCGTCTCTACAAAAAACACAAGAATTAGCTGGGCATGGTACATGCGCCTGCAGTCCCAGCTGCTCAGGAGGCTGCGACAGGAGAATTGCTTGAACCCAGGAGGCGGAGGCTGCAGTGAGCCCAGATCACCCCACTGCACTCCAACCTAGGCAACAGAGTGAGACTCCATCTCACTCTGGAAAAAAGCATTCTATTTAAATATTCTTGAATTGGGTATATTAGATATCTTAGGACATCTTCTCTCCTCCCCTCCCTTTCCCCCTCCTTCCCTCCCTTCCTCTCCTCTCCTCTCTTCTTTTTTTCTTTTCTTTTTTGAGACAGGGTCTCACTTTGCTGCCAAGGCTGGAGTGCAGAGGTGCAATCATGGCTCACTGTAGTCTCAACTTCCCAGGCTCAGGTGATCCTCCCACCTTAGCCTCCCAAGTAGCTGGGACTACAGACACACGCCACCCTACCTAGCTGATTTTTCTCTGTGTGTGTGTGTGTGTGTGTGTGTGTGTGTGTGTGTATATATATATATATATATACATTTTTTTTTCTGAATATATATATTCTGTGTGTGTATATATATAAAATACACATACGGCCAGGCTCGGTGGCTCTCGCCTGTAATGCCAGCACCAGTGGCTCCAGTGAGCCATTGCACCTGGCCAGGACGTTTTCCTAGAAAACAAAAATTTTTTTTTTTTTTTTTTTGAGACGGAGTTTCACTGTTACCCAGACTGGAGTGCAATAGCATGATCTCGGCTCACTGCAACCTCCGCCTCCTGGGTTCAGGCAATTCTCCTGCCTCAGCCTCCCGAGTAGCTGGGACTACAGGCACGCACCACCATGCCCAGCTAATTTGTGTATTTTTAGTAGAGACGGGGTTTCATCTTGTTGACCCGGATGGTCTTGATCTCTTGACCTCGTGATCCACCCACCTCGGCCTCCCAAAGTGCTGGGATTATAGGCGTGAGCCACCACGCCTGGCCGAAAACAAATTTTCTTAGAGTTAAAACTACTCTAGGTAGAGATTTTTGATCAACTTGGTCATATGAAGCAATATTCATAAATAAAGCAAAGCATTATTGGGACTAAGTGGCCTATTATCAGGATTGTTCCAGGCAAAGTTTCTACGCTAGAAAACACAGGTTGCTGACTTTGTCCCAAGACTCTTGCCTCTCCTTTTTCAGATAGTAAGCCCCTTAAATATTTTTGAATTATTTTAGGGTTTCCAGATAAAATTCAGGACACCTTTAGTATAAGCATGTCCCATGCAATATTTGGGACATGCTTATACTAAAAATTATTTGTTATTTATCTGAAATTTCTATGTAATTGAATATCCTGGGTTCTGTTTTGGTTTGATAATTTTGTTTTTGTTTTTGTTTTTTTTTTTTTTTGCTAACTCAAACAACCCTATTTACAGGGATTGAGACTGCCACATTAGAAGACATCTGCTCTTAATTGCATTTAGGCCTTCTTGGTACATGTAAATGACAGATTAAATTCTTTCTTATTTTGATCAAAGGGATGCAATTGGATAGCATGTGGACTCTGAGTACCTCAATCCAGGTAATTCAGAAAAAAATCTTCTATTCCTAAAGCCCTGACAGATGAAGTTGTTTCTGCTGTTGCTCAGGCCAGACCTGGATGCTCAGGCCAGATCTAGTGCAGTTCTGGAGCTGTCCCTGAAATACTCTTTCGTCAGCCAGCCACTGCAGATCATTTACTAGGCAGATTCAGACTGATGCTTTGAGGACAGATCACATTCCAAATTGTAGGTATCCTAAAAGCAAAGACGTACAAGGATTTTTGGAAAAAAATGTTTTCTACCAAATGTGTGACATCACTCTAAAAATGTATGCGTATAGAGGGGAACAATAC